GTCGTACGACGAAAATCGGATGCAGTGTGAATCCAACATATGACTTTCATTGTGCGCAGCGTCTCTCCTCACCGTCTCTCGTATTTACATTCTCCATGCGAGATTGCGAGATGTTACCAGTAAATCATCGATACACTCGAGGCGTATTTCCCGAACGGTAAATCCTATAAACTGATAAACCGCAATGCCGTGGATCCCTGGAGATCGAACATCGATTTCAAAAGAAGAAAAGGAGGAGAAGCAGAAAAATGTCAAACGCGGAACGAAACACGCAAGGCAGAATTTTCACCTTGCCGGCGCATGTTGGCGCATGTTGGCGCATGTCAGTATGTCGTATGTCACTCGGCCGGCTGGCGCATTATCGTTGATCCCTGCGTCAATGACACGTCACGACCAGTCATCGATTAAGGCCGAGATGACCGCGGAGTTTTTTGCGGCGTCGAAAACTGCAAATCTTGTGTGGAGATTAAGCCTCCGTGGTAAATCGATTGTATCGTCGGGCAACTCATGTATGATTTCCACAGATGTTCATGCGCTCCAATAAGTAGGTCAGTCAGTCAATAGGTCGATTAGCTGGATTTATATTTACAATTAGATGGATGCGATGAGAGGTGCTCGAATTTCTCGGCCGATCGTCTTTCAGTTACAGAATACTGATTTACAGTGATCGGTAAAAAAAAAGCCACCTTATCTATAAAATTGATTTGCTTCGTAAAGTTTGAACAAATATTTATGTTGTAAACTTTTTGTACTAAAATTTAAAATTTATTCATTAATTAAACGATTTTAATTTAAAAAAGAATTAATTTCATTATTTGTAATGTGATAGAAATGTGTAATGCTATATTTATTTCTAAAAGATATATTTAAGTGTGACAAAATAAAAAGGATAATATATTTTAATTTTAGAAAACAATATAATTCTCTAATTAATAGTTAATATAACTTCCTTTAGCCTTAACACAACTTTTTCAAATCTCTTTGGAATATTTTTAATTAAATTCTTCAAATGTGTGTCCAGATTTTCCCATGCTAGTTATAGTGTTTCAAAATAAGGAGTTCTTATTAGTTATTCTGCATTTATCAATCTTATTATCCAAAATTTCCCACAGATCTTCAGTGTTTAAATAAATTTGAAGACTATGAAGGCTATTCGAGTTATTCGATGTAGTAGAAACAGATAAAAGTTTGACTCTTTTTTACTGTGCATTTCAAGTCATTATCTTGCTAAAAAATAAAATTATTTTCTAGCCCAAGCTTCAACTATTATCGATAATTACCAAAATTTATAACAAATATTTTTTTTAACTTGAAGCAAACCAGTTTTATAGATAAGGTGGCTTTTTATTTTTGCCGATAATTGTAGGTAAGAAAGACTTTATGGTCACTAAAGACTTTATATCATTTTTCTATAATATTATCTAGTAATTATAAACACCTAGTCTGGGTTTCTGTTCTTTATCGAATTTTATCATTCATATAAGATGGCCCGGCCGAGATGAACGTCTTCTCGCTTCGGTCTGAGTATTACATCATCTTACAATTTCTGATAATTTTTACCGAAAATATGACTTGTGCATTAATTTCGACAATTTATAGTTCGACAAATTAACTCGTACATTGCACCTATTTTAGTTCATTTCTTCGACATGAATAATTTGCAAATAGCAAAGAAGAAGTAACAATAAGTTTATTTTTTAGCCCCACAAGGATTTGATTTATATTGAGTCAAATTGATTCTTTAAATAGACCTCATGTCTTTTTTATTTAAGAATTGTTTTGCAATGACGAATAGTTCTTTTTAAATACACGATTTTAAAATCAATTCTTCCATGTATCTTAAGACACGATCTTAATATAACCGAATTTTGACATTATTCCTGATGAGCCCTTATAATCCCACTTTCTTAAAATTTTCACATGTAAGTACTGAAAAAATATCCTTGAGAATGATCATTCTATTTAATTATACACGGAAAAAAAGATTGATTACTGCAGCAAATTAGATAGTAAAATATGGCATAGCATTTTTAATTGGTTGCAGCAGCCAATTAAAAATGCTATTCCATATTTAACCATCTAATTTGCTGCAGCAGCCGATCTTTTTTTTCAGTGTACATATATGAAATATATCCATACGTATTCATACATCCCTTTTTTTTGTAAAATTACTTTTTAGTGTAATAGAAATAATATTATGGTAATGTGAAAACATTAAAAATAATTAAAGGGATAATTTTCGCATTGCTCGTTTTTAGAAAAAAACAAGTTTGGAAAAATGAAAAAAAATTGCTCATATATATACACAAGTATGTATAATTTTATATATAATTATACATAAATTTTTTTACATTTTTTCGAACTTAATTTTTTCTAAAACAAATAGTGCGAAAATTACCTTTTTAATTATTTTAATGTTTTCACATTGATATTATTATTTCTATTATACTAAAAAGTAATTTTACGAGAAAGTAATTTTAAGAGAAAAAAGGATGTATGAACATGTATGGACATATTTCATACAAAATTATATATGTTTATGAATATTTATACATGTTTACGTATGTTTATTTATACATAATTATACATATTCATGATAAATTTTTTACCGGGAAATGTCATCGTATGAGCATTATAGTCTTAAGTTTTGAATACTCTATTATACTAAATTCTTTAGCAGTTAGTTAAACTGTTCTAAACATAATCAATCTTGACGCACGCTCGCGAATTCGATGAAGCTCTGTGGCTCGAGAACAATATTTCGGTGCGAACGCAATACTTTTAAATTTAGAAAAATAATCTTATCTCAAAAAAAAAAAAAAAAGATTTTCAAATATTGCAAAATAAATATTTTTATATATATTTTTACACGTTTAATTAAATATAATTTTTTTACCAAGATACCAGACAGAAAACGCGAGTCCTCTGAAAGATGGAGACGAATCATTGAATACACACGTACGTGTTTTTTCTTTTTGTGTGCGTATTTTAATACTACTTTAAAAAATCCTGGAAACAGATTTTCAAATTTATAAAAGAAAAAAATAATTATACAAAAATTAAGCGTTGTATCGGTAAAACAGACGTCTTTAGGATCCCTTTAACACGTTTTTATACGCATCATCGGCGCCTAGTGCCGCGTACTTTAGAGCTTGGAACT